CTTATCCTCCAGTGTTATTTGGGAGGCCCGGGGGCATCGTGCTTTAAAGACCCCGAGATGGTTGTAGCGGATGACCTCGGCCTCTTTGATCGGGTATATTCGAATGGTTGGCCCTCGGCAGGCCTCTTCTCGGTGGCAGAAAGGGACTTATCGCTCTCAGCCAATTTGGAGATTGGCAAGGTGTCCTTAGTATCAACCTGAGTCACCTTGGCCTTTGGCTGGGCTTTCTTAATTCTTTTTTGCTTTTGCCTTGGCTGAGGCTGGGTTTGTACTGGCTGAGCGTCAACGTTGGCAGGGATGCTGGCTAAGAGGTCTTTGGCAATTGCTTTTTGGCACCCCATCTCAGGAGTAAAAACTGTTCGGCGTCGTTGACGGTGCTAGGATATTGGGATCAGATATGGAGCCGAGGTAAACGGCTGCTCAGCTGGATCAGAGGTCGATCCTTGATCTGGCCGAGATGAGGAGGCTGTTTGAGGAGTTGTGGCAGAAGGAGGTGACTGGCTTTTCTTCTTTTTCTTTAGGATGTCAGGCAGCGCCGATTTGTAGGTTGGGATGAAATTGAGTACCAGAGGGGCTCTCCGTTTGTGGACTGGTAGATCCAAAAGTTTCCTCAAGTCTTTGCTGGGAAAGAAAGACTGACGGAAGCCCTTTGGTGGCTGAGGAAGAGCTACAAGAAAAACAGACGTTAGAAACAAACAAAGTATTGAAGACTTTAAAAACAAGTTAGTATGAACACAGGGCTTTTACCATTGCCCTCTACAAAAACTGATCGAGGAAGAGGGTAGAGATGGAGGTCCTCATCTAGAGCGAACTCCCAGTTCCCCGAGGTAATGAAATAGTCATCCCCAGCTCCCTTGTTGGAGTCAGGGAGGTCGGTAACAATTTTGTACTCTGTGGACCTCGGCTTAAGGTAGTAAACATAGCTCGTATCTTTTTTGAGGCCACACATGGTGTAGCAGTATTGGATATCGGCTAAGGTAATCCTAGCGTTTTCTTGTCTGGCTAAGGCTATGATACCATTGATGACTCGATAGGAATTGATGGCAAGTTGCATCGGGTTCAACTTATAATAGTGAAGTATCTCACGAAAAAGGGTGTTGACTGGAAGCCGAAGTCCGCACTCAAAGAAGGCTACCATAGGGAAGGGCAAAAAATCGGTTGTAGGCATGATGGAGTCATCATCCCCAGCCAACCTTAGATGAACGTCGGCCGGGATGTCAAACTCTCGCCTAAAGTGCTCTAACTTGGATGGGGTGTCTACCCTATGCTTCCACATACCCATGATATCGGCTTAACTGAAAGGGTTGGATTTCAGAAGGGTGTGTTTCTAAAGGGTTTTATGGACCTCGGCTAAAGCTTGAAAATACACAAAATTTTTGGGGAATCGTTTCAATTTTCCCTAACAATTGTTTTGAGTTCTACAAACAAATCTCAAACTTAGATCTATGGAAATGAAGATTGAAGGCACGAATCTGGAAAACAGAAAAGCAAGAATGCGCTTCAGAATCAAGAACAAAGATGGACTATCAAGAACATTGTAAGTACAAAGGGTATAAGGTCAAGAACAGTGGCAAAAGTGCAGAAAAGTTGTGAGCAGTGTGTGTATTCAAGACATGGGCAAAGAGCAAAGTCGTGAAATAAACAAACTCAAATATATGACTCATAAATCAAATACTTGAGTAAAACAGCAATGACGATTAATAATAAAGCAAAACTTCTTGGAGAGCAACAGGAAATAAAACCAGGAGGAACAATGGCTTACCAGAAAGAGGGAAGTCCGAATGGGGATTGCCGAAGTTTGATGACAATTGCAAAGGCAGAAGGTCGATGAAAATCACGCCGGAAGGGGTAAACGGGGCAAGTTGCAGAGCTATGGAAGTTTGAACAATGGAGGATTTGAGAAAGCTAGAGAGAGAGAGAGAGCTTCAGAAACAATGTAAAGTGAAGAGACAGAAGGCGAAAGAGGCTATTGTTAAAACTTGAAACGGCAGCAAAAAGAAAGCAATTAATGCGCCTAAAATGACGTATGCGTCAGACGGCGCACGTAGGCGCGAGATGACTTACAAGCGCGTACGGAGTACGATCCAATAAGGGAAAAACGCGTGGTTAAGACGGTTGATGTATTATGCTTGACAACTCATACGCATGAGGGAGCTCTTGAAATTTTTGAGACATGTCGGCTGGGAATCTCTAAGTCGATGTACTGGCAGGAAGTACCGATATAGGTCCCATCACCTCAGAATGTCGAGGTAATAATAGAACTTAGGGGGCAGTTGTGGGGATATATTTTCTGGGTACCAACACGTGGCCAAGGTGACGCCGACATGTCAGCTGAGGTGCCACGTGTCCTGGTCATGACGCTGAGGTTATCTCGGCAAGGCCGAGGTTATCTCTGAAGATATCGGAATTCGAGATAAGCGGATAAGGCACAAGAGTCCTATAATGATGAGGGGACTCAGCTTGGATAAAGATAAAGCTTTTAGGGAGTTTATCTCTATCTATTGAAGAGTCCTGGATAAGTACTAAGCTAAAGTCCATTGAAGTTAGGCTTCTGTTGGGACAAGGATTGAGTTAACTATAAAAGAAAGGCACCCCCGATGGGTTTAAGGTACGCAATTTTTATTCTAAACAGTGAGTTTAGCACTATTGACTATCTTTGAGAGATATATTGACTTGATCATCGGAGTGCCCCCGGGTGGACGAACCACTGCCGGAATCTTCTCTTTCTGTTGCAGGTCAGCCAGGTGTCATCTATTTTGCCAGTACTCTTCAACTGATTACTGAGTTGGCAGTGTGGTTAGAAAATCACTCACACAATTTTATTTATTTATTTTTTCTGGCTGGTTTAGGATTTGAGCGTTGGGGGCAAAAATACATGTAACTTTTCATTGAAAAAAATTATTATAAAATTTTAAATTTTGATTTATATCAGCATAAAAAAAATGAATAAAATTATTATTAATCGGATATTCTTTGTCAACATAATTAAGAATAAAAAATATTAATTATTATTTAAACCATATCATTCTTGAGTAGCTTTACATAACCACATGTCAAAGAACTGAGATTCTAGAATGTAAATAAAAATCATATTATAAGAGACAGCTTGGAAGATGTTCTAGAGTTCATAGAAATATTGGATAACTTTGGCCATAATTCAGTGCTCTTATATATATATATATATATATATATTATGTTCCTCTAATCTCTATCTATCTATATATCTATCTCTCTTTATGTATGAGTGCATGTGTTTTTCCCTTTGTAATAATGCATGTATTCACTCTCATCAATAGTTTCCTCAAAAGGCCTCATTATTTGTAAAAAAAAAAGTCCTTAAAAATTATAATTCCTTTTGGTCCTCGCAATTCAAATAAATTATTTACAAACCAAGGAGTCAACTGTATAGGACCCAGAAATTATATGTGTCAAAAGATGAGAAAGAGAAGTCATTGAGTGATAATCTCATATTAACAATGTATATAGCATATTCATCCATCAAGAACCTTAAAAAAACAAAAACAAAAAACAAAAAACAAAAACAAAAAACAAAAAACAGAAAAGGGAAATTGAAAACATTCTGGAACAATAAATCAAGAAATTCTGCAGAAAACATCAATTCAAGAAACAGAATCACAACTATTCTAAAGGGAGAGAGTGAGGAGATTGCAGAGCTCTGATAGTTTGGATAAAGAAAAACCCTAATTGCAAAAAGGTTAATTAATGATAATCAAAATGGACAGAACTTGTTAAATTCATGCATATTATATATATACTCAAACATATGTATCGAAATGTGCATATCTTGATCAAGGATTTGAGAATCAGATAATTCAAAACGAACTAGAGAGAGATAGAGAGAGAGAGCTTACTTGATGAAATTGAGAAAGAAATTGTGCATACACAGAGAAGAAAAAATAAAAAAATAAAAAAAAAACTGCAAACAAGCATCCCATATGCAATGAACAGAAAGAGAGAAGTAAAAAAAATTAAAAGAGAAGAAAAAATCCACTAAGGCATATTTGGATAGATATTCGGAAAGGGAAAAGAAAAGGTTGGGGAAGAGGCAAGTGAAATATAAGCTAAATTTTTTCTCCATTTCTTTTACCTTTGCCTTTCCCTTTCCAAATCTTTACCCAAATTCATGATCTAAACACGACCTAAATGTATGATTGATTTATTTCAACTCGACATTTGTTAAATGGCAATCCCAGGTATAATGTGTGTCAAATGATGAGAAAGAGAAGATATTGAGTGATTATCTCAGATTAACTATGCATATAACATATGTACGTATATGCAGAGATTTGTATATCTATTTATATTCATTCATCAACATCTTGAAAAAAAATAGGGAAATTAAGAACATTCAAGAACAAGAAATCAAGAATAATGCAGAAAACATAAATTCAATAAACAGAACCAACAATATTCAATTCAGACTTGAAACCAAAACAACTAAATAATACACACATCCGTGCATATATATATAGGAAAATGATTGAGAGCCCTAAAAAAGTTGCCCCTAATACCCCTAATTTCCAATTTTGGAAACTGTTTTTTTTTTCTTTCTTTTTTCTTTTTTTTTTTTCTTTCTTTTTACCCGAAATGGAATTTCGAGCCATTCGGGGCTCTCCATTTCGGGCCCTCAATCACCGCCCTAAATTCATTCAACTTCTTTGGTCTAGTCTTCTATCTATTACATACTCAACAAAATATTACTCAAAATTAAAATATGTCAATTTCTCATTTATTGATAATATTACATAAATAATACTACATGATATTATAAAAACATTTAATAATTTTCACCGATAAAAGAGGAACATTATTTTGTAGACAGTGGACCATGAAATGAGGACTTCTTTCTAACATTTATCATCCATTGAATCTGACTTTCAAACTTTGGAAGCCAGATTTGTGTTCCACTCCATTGGTTTGATTGCAGACCAAAACAGGACTGCCTAAGAAATTGGTTTACACAAGAGGCTTCAAGCTGTACTTAGGTGTGACACCCTTTGGACATCCCTGCAACCCAAAATTCAAAAAAAAGAATCAAATAATAAGAATCAACACAACATAACCTCATTAAATAATCAATAGTCATTCATAATCAAATAAGTTACAAATAATGAAAAAACACGTTATCTCAGTGTACTTGAAGTATTAGTGAGCTATAATAAGAATCAACACAACATAACCTCATTAAATAATCAATAGTCATTCATAATCAAATAAGTTACAAATAATGAAAAAACACGTTATCTCAGTGTACTTGAAGTATTAGTGAGCTATAATAAGAATCAACACAACATAACCTCATTAAATAATCAATAGTCATTCATAATCAAATAAGTTACAAATAATGAAAAAACAAGTTATCTCAGTGTACTTGAAGTATTAGTGAGCTATAATAAGAATCAACACAACATAACCTCATTAAATAATCAATAGTCATTCATAATCAAATAAGTTACAAATAATGAAAAAACAAGTTATCTCAGTGTACTTGAAGTATTAGTGAGCTATAATAAGAATCAACACAACATAACCTCATTAAATAATCAATAGTCATTCATAATCAAATAAGTTACAAATAATGAAAAAACAAGTTATCTCAGTGTACTTGAAGTATTAGTGAGCTATAATAAGAATCAACACAACATAACCTCATTAAATAATCAATAGTCATTCATAATCAAATAAGTTACAAATAATGAAAAAACAAGTTATCTCAGTGTACTTGAAGTATTAGTGAGCTATAATAAGAATCAACACAACATAACCTCATTAAATAATCAATAGTCATTCATAATCAAATAAGTTACAAATAATGAAAAAACAAGTTATCTCAGTGTACTTGAAGTATTAGTGAGCTATAATAAGAATCAACACAACATAACCTCATTAAATAATCAATAGTCATTCATAATCAAATAAGTTACAAATAATGAAAAAACAAGTTATCTCAGTGTACTTGAAGTATTAGTGAGCTATAATAAGAATCAACACAACAAGAAAGTGAGTCACCTAGAATCAACACAATAAGGTTATCATAATCCAAGCACGTTATCATAATCAAATGTTCTAAATAACAAACACACTAAATTTATAACTATGACAGATCTATCTAGAGCAAAAGGTACTTACTATGATGGTAAATCAGAAGTAAAACCTCCCCGACTAATCTGTTGCAGCACCAAATCAAGCTTGGCATTGACCTCCATGCTATTAGACTCCAAGTTGTGCACTCTTGCATTCAGTTCCTCATTGATTCTCCGTTGCTCTTCAAGCTCCCTTCTAGTTTCCTCATTTTCTATCTCAAGAGCAGCACGAGTACGTCGACCAGATGCTGTTGTACTAGGTTTAGGACCACGTCCTAAACCACTTATGTAGCCAGACTTACGCCCAAACACCTCAATGGAAAGCTGCTCATCAGATAGTGGGCCAGATCCATCTTCTATAGCTTCATTCTCCCGCTCTTTAAGTTTTTTCTACAATTGCTCATGAAATTAAATACAGTCATTTTATATCTACATTGTAACAGAGCAACTGAAGACATTGATTTTCCTATTTACTTATCCTAGAGAGAACATAATAACTGGTAGAGAAAGCACCATAATCTAGTAGCAGGTCTAATATTCTAACTGAATTTTCTAACTTTAAAGTAGCATTTCCCAAAAGCTGAATTTTCTAACTTTAAAGTATTAACAGGTCTAATATTCTCTTCAAACATGCGTTTTTAGATGCCATGCCATCCTTGTTTCTAGGTACCAGACAACCTACAGAAGCATATCAATCATAAGTTTTATTATTCATGCTTAGCAAACATTAATAGTGTCTGATTTAACCATAAGAAATGCTTAGGAATTAATAGTGTCTGATTTAACCATAAGAAATGCTTAGGAATTAATAGTGTCTGATTTAACCATAAGAAATGCTTAGGAATTAATAGTGTCTGATTTAACCATAAGAAATGCTTAGGAATTAATAGTGTCTGATTTAACCATAAGAAATGCTTAGGAATTAATAGTGTCTGATTTAACCATAAGAAATGCTGGCCAATGAGGTTGAGAAATCATTTTTTGTTGTGTTTGATCTCAAGGATCTTAACAAACATTTAAGAACTCTGTTGCAATCTTCTTTCTGCTGAAGCCAGTTCTGTAATAAAGCAATATAAAATATAATCTGAACACAAGTGCGAGTAATTGAAACAGTCACTAGTGAGGTTTCAAATCTTGTCAACTCCCTTTGTCATCCCAAAAGATAAGAAAATATATAGTTTGTACAAAAAAGAAACGAAAGAAAAAGAAAAAAAACAAAAACAAAAACAAAGTATGGTTAAACTAACATATGGGAAGGGATTATGTTATTCTTCAATGCAATTGTTTTGGACAAGAACAAGGAACAGATTATGACTGCAAATATTCACTAGATCAAGCATGACATAGTTTATGGTCTCAAGACCAAGTTGGACCAAGATGGATTATTAGGTCAGTGCCTATACAGTTAAAGCTCCTACCAAACCTTAGCCTTGCAACAACAATGCTGCAAATATTCAAATCATACCATTTTGTCTCATAAACTTTCACTCCAATATTTCCAAACTTAAAAACAGGTGATCTAGTCCTAATCATTTACATTCATAATCATTTACATTGTTCGTTTTTAGTGCTAAAGATTCACAACACATGAGCCTTAGACAAGTAATCATTAACAGGAAAATACTTATATTTAACATTAGAAAATTCTTACATGTCTAATTTCAGCTTCATTATGGACCCATGCTTGCCTTTTCTGACTAAAGTGTGTCTTGTGATACAAATCAACAAGTCCAAGCTCCTTTCCATCCTTGTCTCGCTGTCAAAACCTTTATAGTTAGTATCCTATGGAGTACATACATCACCAAATAAAAGAAATAGAAAAAGTGCCACGTAGACCCTATGATTTAAAGGTTAGTTGTTTACCTCATCGTATTGCCCCTTTCTAAATGCCTTTGATCCAGCTGTATGGAGGACTTTAAGCTCAAACCGATTTTCCTTGTTTTTCTGACATTTCTCCTGCATGAAGTGTAAAAATATATTCAAAAGAAATCGAGTCCATGTGCCCAAATGCTTAGTAACAGCAGCAGCTACATGCCTAGCAGCAGCCTCCGCCATAGCAGCAGCTGTAGCATCATCAGCAGCCCAGTACAAGCAGCCTACACAAGAGCTGCAGCCTCACCACAAGTGTGTGCAAGTGCATTACAAGTGTGTTCAACAATTACCTGGTACGTCTTATCATCCCGTAATTGACATAGGTATTGCCACACCTCTTTTTCGATATCTTCATGTGGGTTTGCAAGGGCTGATTCCATCGTAGGGAAACTTCTAAAATGTTGGCGTAGATTAAAGCGGTAGGTCTTGTACTGGAGTTTCATCATTCCAAGGATAGATGCAATAGCGTAAGGTTCATTACTAAAAATGAAACCTTCCTGCCATACCAATAAAATTAAACACTTCAAAACATTAAGCAACATAATTCATAAACTAAAAGGGAATATTAAACTAGACTAAAAAAAAAACTATCTTACTCAAAGGTATGCAATTAGCGTTTGTTTATCCTTAGGGCTAATAAAACTCTACTTAGGCACATTTTGTGGGGGCAAATTGCCTAGTGACGATCCCCAACTCGGTGATGAATTTATCAAACCACAATCCCAATGGATTCCCAGTAATCCTACAAATTTCAACATCCAATCGCTTCCCTTGACTTTTTATCTTGAGTAATGCAAGGCTTCGTGACTTCCCACGTCCTTTCTTACGCTCTGTTGTATCTATTAAAAACAACATATAGAAAAAACACATCAATGTCCAACATATGCATTGGATGAAAAGAATAAACAACCAACCGAAAAAGAATATAAAACTAAAATATTTACAAACCCACCAGCAATACAACAATCCGTGCTAGAAGTATCCAAGTATGAGGCTTGTGATGTAACTTCATGCATAGATGTCGATGCTGATGCAGCTGCAGATGTTGATGCAGATGTTGTTGGGGGCACAAACTTTGACGTAAATGAAGGAATTGACTGAATAGATGTGGATGCAAAAGATGTAGCTGCTAATTTGTTGGGCACATAGCCTCCCTGTCCTCTACCTCTAAAAATCAATAACAAGAACAATAAAATGGTTTCAGCTGTCTTACATAGAAATGTCTAGTGTATCTATATGATGATCTTAGTAGGTTTAGTAATATAAAATGGTTTCAGCTGTCTTACATAGAAATGTCTAGTGTATCTATATGATGATCTTAGTAGGTTTAGTAATATAAAATGGTTTCAGCTGTCTTACATAGAAATGAAGTTTTTGAACAAATTTTGCAGCCTTCTACTTAGATGAAAAAGATAAACTCTACATTTTCCTGCTCTATTTTCCAATTCTATTGCTAACTTCCAAAACTTTGGACTGAATCTCCTATATCTTTATCATAACACTTGAACTGGTGCTTCATCCTTGTGATCAGCTGTAACTATAATTGAGTAAGATTACAGCTATCACATGTGGGTCCACTTTCATTGTAAGTAAGTGATAAAAAATATTATAAAAAAAAATGTGGCTGTAACAAGGCTCTTCAAATTTATTTTGAATGTAATGTGAGTTGCATTTAGAATAAATTTAATTTATACATTTTTAAATTATGAATACTTTTCAAATGAAAATTCTGAATACATAACATTACTTTACTATATCAAATTCCAAATGAAATACAAAGGCCAGGTCTGTGCAGGAAATTAGTGTTGCAAAGCCACTTCAGCTGTCTTTTTTTTTCTACCATACCTTTCTTGGCGAAGTTTTTCTGCCATAGGATCCAGTGGCACTTCCTTCACTACTTCAAGAATTTTTCCCTTCTGTACACTCCCTTTTGCATTTGTCTTCTTGAGGACCTTTTCTGCAGTAGCTGCAGGTGCAGGTGCCTAAACATATCACATGAAAAACAACAAAAGCCAAGTGAGGATAATAAATAACAAAACAGCAACAAATAATACATACAATGCCATTACAATTCATATGAATTCTGAAATGCAGAAAACAACAATAGATCCATTTATTTTCTTAGGTCATCAACTGTTGTTGGCTACAAGTACGTCTTTCAATTGGCCTTTATTGATAGTACCTTTGCAGCAACAGATTCCGTTGCACGCTTCCTCCATAGATCGGCTTTCCGAGTTTCAAATTCCTCTCTACTCATGATGGGGGGTCCAGGATTGATGCCCATCCTAAAATCCGCAAGATCCCTAAAATCCGCAAGAAAATTAGTCAAATTGTTTTGAAAAAGGATAACATTACATTAAAGGTTGAATAGATGATAAAAAAAATGTAAAGCCCATTTCATTGCTGATAGTCAAATGATCATACATCATAACAATTATTGAACCATAAAAGCTTCAAATCATTCATAAACATAGAACTTGGTTAAAGACTCTTCCAATACAACTAAAAACTTTTGGAGTACACTATTAGCCGGAAAGAGCAAATGGATTTGGTACTCATGAACAAGCATAGAGAATCCAATTCACAAACAGAACTATGTAGACCACCATCTAAGATTTTAAAAAATAAATAAACAAATAAGAGAAAAAAAATTTAACAAAATAGTATCATTTCTCAAGCTTTTCCATCTTAAAGGGCAAATATGATAACGTTGGAAACAAGACAAATTATTAAAATGAAATAAGCAACAAAACAAAGCACACTTTTTTCGACAAGAAAACTTGAAATGGAAATAAGCAATAGCAATTATAAATCTTACATGATGTTAAAATGGAAATCATTTGGAAACAAGACAAAATATTCATCGATAGATATAATCTTCATCAATTTCATCTTCCGGATCACTATCATCATCAATCATATCATCATCAACTTGATCATCCATGTTAGTGTCATCATCATCCGCATTATTATCATTAATGAGCACTTCATCATCAACTTCAAGTTTCTCCTCGTGAAATTCGCCAGTAATGTCAACACATATCATTTCCATGTCTTCTTTGCATAATTCTATGGGTTGATCATCAATGTACACCACATCCCCAAGTCCATACGACTCAAATTGTTGGTATGGTTCATCTTTGTCTTTGTCTTCCTCTTCCGCTTCCTCTTCATCCTCTTTCACTAAGATGTCATAAATAGCCCGTGGTAATACTCTTTGTACAACTCCATAATTATTGCCCCACTTCGTATCTTTCAAATAAAACACTTGTTCCGCTTGGCATGCTAACACAAATGGTTCATCTTTGTACCAAGTCTTCGTAACATTTACACTAATGTAGTTAAACTCATCAACTTTTATTCCAATTTTTTCGTTACCAACATCCCACCAATTACACTTAAAAAGAAACACACTATTCCCACCTAGATATTTCAACTCAATTATCTCTCTAATAACACCATAAAAATCAATAGGTTTCCCTTTATGATCTCCCTTCACAACCACGCCACTATTTTGAGTTTTTCGGTACATGTCACAATCTTGAGTGCGAAACCGAATCCCGTTGATGATACAACCATTGTAGCGTGTCACTCGGTAATCGGGACCTCGAGCTAAGTTTATAAGTTGATTGGAAGCATCCATTGTCCCTTCAACTTGCAGCTTTGTGACCTAATTCCATTGTTAATATGAAATGCATTAGCATACACTTAAATTCATTATTTCAATACACAAATAATGTTCAAAAATTATAACTCTTACGTATTTTAGAAGCCATGTATGGAACTCTGATTCTAGCCTCTCTTGCATATTTGTCAAACCTTATCCTTCAAGTTCATCCATGTATTGCCTATAAATTATAACAATATTATTCGACACAAATGGTTGTGAAAATAATATAATTCAAAAAGTAAAATATTCTAGTGAATATAATCATATGGTAGTTTACTTACAGCATATATGGTCGAACTTCATCACAATTATTCAACACGTACCATCGAACTTTTTTCAAATTCGCTAAATTCAACACATCATTAATTGCAGCTCCTAATCCACAAACTTTTTGCCTAAATACAAACAAGTTTCCATCTTGTGCTGCCTCAATAGGCCCATCATAGTTTCGTTCAGGTCTATTAAATCTTGTCACACCTTCATGGAAGTACATAGAGCAAAAAGTGAGAGCCTCATTGTCATTGTAACCTTCAGCAATAGATCCTTTTGGACGAGCTTTGTTGCGCACATAACCCTTAAGAATATGCATGTACCTTTCAAATCCATACATCCACCGGTATTGCACCGGTCCTGCAAGGATTGCTTCACGCGATAAGGGAATGGATAAATGAATCATAATATCAAAAAAAGATGGTGGAAATATCTTCTCGAGCTTGCACAAAATTAAAACAATATCTTTCTCTAGTTGTTCTAAGACATCAACTCTCAATGTCTTTGACGATAACTCCTGAAAGAACAAGCTAAACTCAATTAATGCCTTGCTCACATCCTTTTTCAAACATCCACGTAGAGCAATAGGAAGCAATCTTTGCAAGATAACATGGCAATCATGGCTTTTCAACCCCGTAATTCGACAGTCACTAGTGTTCACACAATGTGATATGTTTGATGCATAGCCATCTGGCAATTTAATTGAACTCAAGAATTCACAAAAGTTCCTCTTTTCAGTTGGAGACAACATGAAGCAAGCAGGAGGTAGGAATGTTTGGCCATGTACTTCCCTTGGATGTAATTCAGGCCTTATACCCATATCCATTAGATCAAGACGAGCCTTGTATGTGTCCTTGGTTTTTCCATCAATGTTCATCAATGTTCCTAGAACACTATCACATACATTTTCTTCAATGTGCATAACATCAAGGTTGTGACGAACTTTGAGGGTTTTCCAATAAGGTAAATCAAAGAAAATGCTCCTCCTTGTCCAATTTAAATATTGAGGAGAACGTTTTCGCTTCTTCCCACGGTGATCTATTTTCCCAAATAATGATGGGTCTATATGCCCCAATTGACCCAAGACCTCCTCTCCTGATAACAACTTAGGTTCTAACCTAAGCTCTGGCTCACCATTGAATGACTTGCTTGTTCGCAAAAAATGATCATGAGGCAAAAAACGACGATGTCCCATGTAACAAGTTTTTCTACAATGATGCAAGTATTGGTGAGATGCATTCTCATTGCATGACGGACAAGCCAATTTGCCTTTGGTGCTCCAACCAGATAAATTACCATACGCAGGAAAGTCATTGATAGTCCATAATAATGCTGCGCGCAATTGAAAATTAGAGCCACTTGATGCATCGTAGGTCTCTACCCCTACCTCCCATAACTCATTTAGCTCATCTATTAGCGGTCGTAAAAACACATCAACATCAAATCCAGGAGCTCTACGCCCAGGAATAAGCAAAGGCATCATAAAAAATGGTTCTTTCATGCATTTCCAGGGTGGCAAATTGTACGAGACAATAAAAACTGGCCATATGCTATATGAGGTACTCATATTCCCAAATGGATTGAAGTCGTCACTTGCTAATCTGAGCCTAACATTTCGAGGATCCTTGGTGAATGACTCATGCTTTTGTCAAAGTCTTTCCATGCTTCAGAGTCCGCCGGATGGCGCATTACATTTTTCTCCTCTACGCGTTTATTTTTGTGCCACCTCATATCAGTAGCTGTCTTCCTTGATATAAATAACCTTTGTTGCCTTGGTTTTAAAGGAAAGTACCGCAAAACCTTGTGAGGGATCTTTTTACCTTTACCTTCACCTTTATGAAATTTGTATCTAGGCTCCATGCAAGTAGGGCATTTATCTTCATTTTCATACTCCTTCCAAAAAAGTACACAATCGTTCTTGCATACATGTATTTTTTGATAATCAAGGCCCAAATCTCGAAGTATTTGTTTAACTTCATTGTATGAGCATGAAAGTGTTTCACCGATGGGAAGTGCATCCTTCAACAGTTCTAGCATCATCATGAGTGATTTGTTGCTCCATTTATTGAGCATCTTTATATGTAGCAGCTTAACAATGAATGATAATTTGGAATATCGCTGGCAATTCGGATACAATTCTTGTTCTGCATCCCTCATTAATCTTGCAAATGTATTTCCTTTACTACCATAAGCACCAGACAAGTCAGGATTACGATTACTAGATGGTTCCCCAGTATAAGCATATGAGGATGGCCCACTATGTATGTCATGGACAATTTCTCGCACATCAGTATTGGGAGAATTTGATTTCTCTGTCACATCATTGAAATATTCGTCATTTTCATTTTCCGAGGGATCACTATCATTCAACTCAAAATCTTCCCCATGATGCATCCACCTAGTGTAAGTTGTGACAACCCCATATGCAAACAAATGAATTTCAACTTCATCTATGGTTTTTTGGATACGGTTGTTGCATCTATTACACGGACACTAAATCTTACTCGTCCCTGATTTCATATGATCACGAGCAAACATGATAAATTCTTTTACCCCATCAATGTATTGATGTAACCTTCTATTATGAAGTTGCATCCAACTCCTATCCATCCCGAAATCCCTATTACAAAGTACACAAAGACATTATCCTTCAATTCCAATATCTTGTTACTTTCTATATGTGGTCTTAAATGAGGAACACAACTAAATTCTTGAAGAAGTTTCACTAATATGTATATCTACTTTTGACTATGTGATTCATATCTATGTTTTGACAAATAAAATTCAGGGATGTATTGCCAAGGCACACCACATAAAACAAAAGCAAAAGCAAAACATCAGGACACAAAATAACATTGATAACAATCATATCCTCACTTTAAAAAAAAAATAAATAAATAATCGCAATGTTAAGTTAAATAAGGTCATAAATCAAATAAGGTCAAACCCTATAAAGAGAAGAAAGGTTTGGCAATGTTAAGTTCAAGTGTAATGGCTATAGCATACCAAATGGCTTTCTATAGGAGGCTGGTGATTACGGCAGTAAAATCCAACAAGTAAAGAAAGAAAAACAAAACATAAATTGCAAACATGCATACATACACTAGAAACAAGTAGAGAAAGAAAAACATAACATAAAGCTGAAGGAGAAGAGTAAGAGCGCTTTTGGGAGCTGTGATTTGGGTGTGCTGGGCAAAACGTGCTTAAGATCTCGGACAATACCATTTCGGCTAGTTGGGATTGAAGATGTTGAATCCAAGCGTGTTTTGATTAAATTGCCTGGAGTTTTAAGGGATAAGAAGCAACAGGAGGAGATTAAGACGAATTATGGGTGTTTTGATTAATTAGGTTTAAAAACCTCATAACTACAAAAGTTTCTTCCTCTCTAAACATTATTTAATACTTTCATAAATACCATGGTATTATATTTTTGACTAATAAAAATCTGTGTTTTGTTAAATATTTTTGGTTGGTTGATTTTTTTTCTGCATAAACAATACCCCCAAAAAAAAAAAAAACCACCCTTCCAAAAAATAAATAAATAAAAAAAGTAACTAAAAAAAATTATAAAAAAAAGCTAAAAAAATATTTAATTTTTCGACACATCCCTACATATAACCAACCACCCTTCAAAAAAAAAAAAAAAACACAGCCCAACAAATAAAATAAAAGAAAAAAATAACAACCAAACCAACACAACCCGACAAATAGAAAAGAAAAAAAAAGTGATTGATTTGATGTGTATGAGAGAGAGAGAGTGATTTTGGAAAATAGATAACCAAACAAAATTTTGAGATTTTTTTTGAAAAAATTTGTTTTGTTTGATTACTCTTACAAATTTGTTTGTAGAGAATTTTTCCCAAAACTTTTTCTGAAAAATAAACCAAACAAGCCCTATGGATAAAATTAAATAAGAAAATGAAAGACTAACTATCCAACTCTCTTAGTGTTTCATGTTACTTTATCAAAGTCTATCAGTAAGTTTTCATACGGCCTTTATGTTTGATTCCAAATTATCTGCCAAATCTTGATATTTTTTTTTACCATACTTCTCTTTTCTTTTCTGCTTTCCATTCCCTACAAGTCACTTCCATTTTGGAACTTTGGTTCACACATGAACCAAGGTTTGAAACCTGTATTTTCTAGGCTTGAAATCATATAAGCTTTACGTGTACTTTACATTGTAATTTATTGTATATGTTGTTATATTTTTTTCAATCTCTCTTTTTTATTTCTAAATTCATGTTCATTGGCTCTTAATCTCCGTACATTTTCGTTATTGTTCTTCTTTGTCACTACGGTTGTGCTTATTTTTGCTACTTTTGTGATCACTGTGAACTTTTCTCCTATCAGTCCCTTCATTTCAACTAGATTATAATGTCATTACTTTGTTAATTTCAAAACATTTCTCACATTATTGGAGGTAGACCCCATTTTGTCCTTGGAATGATTAATCAAAATTCCACACAAGGATGAGAAAAGTCCATGAAAGGCAGATTGAGGAAATTCCAACAATGCTCCTATTCAATTATATGTACCAAGTTCAGAATCACAAAAATAAAGATCTTTTCTAGTTCAAAGCGAAGTTGAAAATGTGAAATCACTGGTAATTTTCAAGACGATTGTGCTCTCTCCACACTGACTAGAAATACAACTTGAGTAATTTTTAAGCTTCAATGATATTTCATGTTATATTAGAGTTTGGCATTACTTTATTTATTTATTTATTTGGGGAAATCAGATCCTTGTCAAGGATCTTCACCTCTCCCCGAAGATGTTCCAACCAACACAGAACCGGGAACATATATGGCCTAGGTCTTTTAACAAACCTGAGTTAAATTAAAATTTCACATCAAGAGGATTGAGAAATACCTATAATTAAAATTCACATCAAAATGATGAAATAAACAAAAATCAAACATAATGAGTTAAATGAATTTTATTAATTCGACATTAAAACTAATTTTTGGCTACACTCTGTATTAAAAACTCAATACTACTTGAAGGATAGAGAAATACTTTGATAGAGAGTGAATTAACCAATCGATGTCTTCAAAGTAGCAGAAATCTGCAAAAAATGAAGAAGAAGGTGAAGAATCAACATATAGAAAAATTGCATCCATGACAATGTGTAGGCCAATCGAACAAAAATGTGAACTACTTATTGTGTTCTTCATAGATCTACAATATATATATACACATATGTACATGTATAGGCAGAGATATATATATATATATATATATAGAGAGAGAGAGAGACGCACCAAATCTACAGAAAATGTGAAGAACAAGGTAGATCTACTGAAGCTTGTAGATCTCAAACTGATCTGCAATGGAGCTCGAGATGGACAGAGCGAAGACCTACAATGAAGCTTGCGATGGAGCTTGACAAATAGAGAGAGAAGTTTTTACACATCGTGAAGCTTGGATACGGTTTTCAGTGTGTATTTGCATTAGGTGAGGTTTTGTAATTTTTCATTATTTGGTCCCTAAAAAATGCCAATAATATGTGTTGACCACCAAAATTATTGGTCTCAAAAAGTTACACAGCGTAACAGGAAATATCATTAGTCATTTTGATAGTTTTATAAGTAAATTATCACAAGTTTAGTTTTGTCTCTAAAAGATTATTTTTAGGGACTAAATTTAATTAGTCCTTAAATATTAGTCGCTAAAAGACTAATTTCTTGTAGTGATCAAATAATCTCTCGAAGGAATTGTATGATTCTCATTGATTGAAATAAGTTAAATTAAGTAGCAACAACAATGGGACGAGTTTGTACTTCCTCTTTTTTTTTTTCTTTTTTTTTTGTTTTTATCAACAAAACGAAATTTTTATTGATTAAAAAAAGTACAATACGTGCAAAATTTACATCAACAAAGTAGGGAAATGCTAAAAGTATCATAGCTATCCTCAACAATCTTAACTAAGTTGGTACCGCAGAAGAAGCACAATCATACGCTAGCACTTAATTCAAGATTGGTGAGAAACCAATACAGAAACCAATCCAAAGCACCATAAGAAAAAACACATAGCAACCAAAGAAAGATCTGCAGCCAGCTTCTTCCCACCTAGGAGCAGCAGTAGAGCCCGAACTAAAAGAACTCAGCAGCATAAAATAGTTGAGTAGCCAAGAAGCAAAACACCCAGCAGCAGCATACCAGAGTCAATCTGAACAACAGTCGTCCAGTGAACACATCTCTCATATGAAGAACTTAGCTAATTTGACAAACTAGCAGATGAATAGCACAACTCCCTTGGATTACCCAATAGCATAAGACTAAACACTCCACAAAACTACAAATCAAAACCGATTACAACACCAAAGCAACAAATCAAATGACCCAGATGAACTGCCCCAGCAACAGCAACATATTAACAAAGCCAGAGCAACAGAGTCAAAATAGAACAGTAAGTCGAAGAATGATTTGTAATTAATGAGAATTAAAAGATGTTATGAGAAATAAATAAGTGAAAAT